GGACAAATACTCTAGGACAGAGGGAGTAAATTATTAATATATAATTTCTATAATTTTTTAATATACAAATTACAAGATAAAATGGATTCAAGAAGTGTATTGAATGATGTGTAAAAATGAAAGTGAATAAATAATTTGGAGGGAGGTAGTATTATTAATACTCAAAATGTAATGTTCAAGCTAAGACTGAAAAAATTAGGAGAAAGTTTGTTTAAGTGACATGCAAATATGATGAAAAAACAATATTCTAAACTCTAAGCCCATGTTTGGATGGGGTGATTTTAGAGGAAAAGAAAATGAGAGGGAAGAAAATACAATTTTCAATAAACTTTCCTTTGTTTGGTTAGGAATGAAAATGGGGGAAGAAAAGAAATCATGAGAGGTGACATCGATCCCAAAAAATTTTCACTTCTCAAGTGGCCAAAAAATGGGCCAATTGAAGAGAAAACTAGTAAATTGACAATTTTACCATGCATTCTATCTTATAATCTCCATATATCTTTTTTCAATTATAAAAAGAAAGGAAAAAAAATGTCTTTTTGGCTTTATCACTTTTTCTTTCCTTTTACATCTTCACTTCATTTCTCACTCATCCAAACAACAATAATCTCCTTCCCAATTTCTCTTCATTTTCTTTCCTTTCTATTTTCTTTCCATTCATTTTCTTTCCATTCGTTTTCTCCTCTTATCCAAACAATGGCTAAGAGTGATTGAAAAGATGAAAATTTTAAAAAATTGAGTTTGAAAAAATTAGAGCACGAATATTTATATCTATTTTTGAAAAACATTAGCAAGGGCCAAGGGCATTGTATAGTCGTGGTTTTTGTCAAGCGGAATTTACTTAAATAGCACTAAAACACATAATGACTTTCTCTAAATAGTCTCGCATATATTTTTCTTCCCAATGTAGCACTTTTAGTCATTATGCATTAGTCATTATTCAAGTAAATATTCATCATCACTGGACATTATGAACATTATTAAGTGATATTTAGAGAATAAAACAATTTAAGTGCTATTTAGAAAAATGACTTAAGTTTTAGTGCTATTTAGTACAAATACTCCGTATTTCTTTTGTCAAACGTAATTGCATATTGTTTTTTCTACCGAACAAGTATAAATTGAGTTGTAATAATAGTGAATTAGAATCGACTTTCTCTTATAATTTAAAAATTCATTTTGTTTATTATTATTTATATAAAATAATATTACAAAAATATTTTATATGATAAATCTAATAAAATTATTTTTTATCAATATCTAATATCAATTTTATTTGATTAATGGTTAAAATTTATCAATTTTGGCATAAAAAAGTTAACAATACACAAAGTTCTGGTACGGAGCTAGTAATTTAAAAGACTAAGATTGAAATAAGTTAAAGATGCTCCAAAAATAATAATTAAAAATATAAAAAAATACGAGTAGGAAATAAAAATGTAATTTAATTGATTAATTTAATGTAACATTCAAGTAATAATGATTCAGTTCGAGATTTTTTTTAAAGAAAAACTCTCTGAATAAAAGTAAAAGAGTATTAAAACATTAAAATAGAAGCCTCAAGTCTTTTAAAACTACACACTCATTAGATTGAAACACTACTACTACCACACTATCACTATCATCTCGTACCCCACCACCAGTTGCCAAAGTTGATCTGTGGTCTATTGGCAATTGACGGATCACACTATCATGTGACATTGTTAGTACTGTTTTATCATACTATCATCGATCACTCTTACATTGCTTTGATGCTCCATCTGTTCTCAATATAATTACAAATTGACGTTTACGAAAAAATATCTCACTTTTGAAAATCATTTTATTTACAAATTAGTATATCGATAAAAAATAAAAGTTACTGTTAAATTTCCGGCGGGCCGATAACAACGGATAGAGTGTCAGGTAAAATTAACCCCTTGCATATAAAGTCGGGATCCACAATTCTAACCCAAAAGCTTAAGTTGATAGGTAGGGCTTCACCCTTCAATATATGCAAGTGATACTCATCTTTATTTTCTGATGTGGGAACTCCAACACTCCCCCGCAAGTGGTAACTAGCCTGGCCTAGTTAGCACTTGGACAAACGGGTCTAGCATCTCAATCTTTTATAGCTAGTCCACACAACGGGCGGTGGCATCTCAATCTCTTTTTAGCCAACTCAGCCCAAACCACAGACGGGGTAGCTCATTTTTGCTAAACCCACATCCAAACAACCAGGAACAATCAAACCCGGACCGAACCTGCTCCGATACCATGTTAAATTTCCGGCGGGCCGATAACAACGGATAGAGTGTTGGGTAAAATTAACCACTTGCATATAAAGTCGGGATCCACAATTCTAACCCAAAAGCTTAAGCTGATAGGTAGGGCTTCACCCTTCAATATATGCAAGTGATACTCATCTTTATTTTCCGATGTGGGAACTCCAACAGTTACATAGTACATATTAAAAAATTATATTAAAAGTTCTACAATTCTCATAGCCTATTCCGATCTCTTCTTCCATTCCGACTCCATAACCAACTTTACTTCCACCGTCACAATCTTCACTCCGCCCGAGTAGGTTGTATTTCCTCTTTTATTAACAAAATTGTTCAACTGTGTTGATGAATTTTATTAATCATTTTATTAGGGTTTGTTGACAAATTCTATTATTTTTTTTGTAAATAGAACAAATAAGAGATAGTGTGAGTACTGTGAGGGTGAGGTGGGTAGAGGATGAAAATGTTGGTACGTTAATAAAAGTTCACACGGACACAAATGTTGGTGTATTTAACAAAAATTAGTTTTACACCAACACAAAATGTTGGTGCAAAACTGCGGGGTACAAATTGGGGTATAAACCTTGGGGTACACATAGCATAATCCTACTCCCTATTTATTACGGAGTTGAATATGTAGTTGAATAATTTTTTACGTAGTAACACAAAATGATGTGAATTTATTTATCGAAATTATAATCCTTTAATTTTCTGTTATTGTTTTGGTACATAGTACTAGTGCACAATTTTTATCCATGCATAATCCATTTCCATTATCACAATTTATGCTTTAAAATTTAAGAATCTTTGAATTATTATTATTATTATTATTATTAAATGCTAGCTTAGGATGCCTCAAACATTACAGTTATTGGGGTGGGGATTATCTAGCTTAGAATAGGTTCAATCATTACATGGAGATGTGGATATTCTAGCTAGGTTAGCATAGATCGCATCATTACACATAGGGAGGGGTGGGAATATTTTAGGCTCTAGCCTCTAGCAGGGAGTAATGGTACCATGGGATGTGAGTGAGGCTTGAAGTGGAAGAGAAGAAAAAATTGAGGGGGAGGGTGGGGTTTTGATGAAGATGAAGAAAAAGGTGGAGAATCAAGAGATAAAAAGAAAATGGGTCAAAATGATAAAATTTAAATTTATAAAATTATAATTTGACTTTAAAGGACTTAAATGTGATTTAGATCGAAATTGTCTATTGGATCACCAGTGAAAGAATGTTGACAATTCGTGTAGTTTTGTGATAGAAATTAAAATTTATATACCAAAGTGAAATAATAAATGAATGATAAATATAATTTAAAAATTAGAAAGTAAACTTTTCATGTTGTTTGAAATTAATTAAAAGAATATTTTTGTAATAAAATAATTAATAAACGTAATTTATGTTTTGTCAACAGTGAACAACCTTCAATTTTCTACATTATAGTATTAAATTTAATATCCAAAACTACGTTCCAAAATATATTTTTCAAATATTATATTTTTATAACATTTATCTATCAATAAATAAAGATAATATTATTAATATTGTCATATCCTACTTCTACAGGATTCAACTAAGTTGTTATTGTGTAACCATAAAATTAAAAAAATGAAACTTATATATTTTAAAACTATATCAAAAGTTATACCCCTCCGTCCACCATAGATCTTCTCATTGCGCATTATAAGGTTTGATCGACTTTATTTTTAATTCAATTTATTTGATTGTAAGAATAAAATTGTAAAATAAAATTATACAGTAAAAAAGTACATGAAAAACTCTACAAAATTAGAGGTGACAATACGATTTTATGTTATGAAATGAGGGGTAAAAATAAGCAAACAAAATTAGTTAAATTTGATTATGTAAATAGTATCTGGAAAGATCTATTTCCGAACTATTAATAGTTAAAATGTTATATTAAACACATTAAAATATCAAATGAACAAAGGCATAATTACTGTGTCTTGCCACTCGATCTTCTTCACGTCGAGTCATTCTGGCCAACACTCTTCAGCTTTTTCTCCGGGAGTCCAACTTATCACAGAGGTCAACCTTGTTTCTCTTACCATGTTTTGTGCTTTGATTTGTGTTGATTTTGAGATGACAATTATTTATAAACGAGATAATTATTACGGAGTAATTTAATAAGAATTGTAATTAAAAACAATGAAGAATAGCATAGGTTACAAAAGGAACGAAGAAATGTGTTGGGATTACCCGGGATTTTAGAGCTAGATTTTTTTATGCTTGAAGATGAGATTAACACTTAGTAATTAAGTGTCTTTATAGTTTCAAAAGAGAAAGTAGCTTTATGATTTTTTTTTTAAATTTCCAGATGTTTGTGCCGTTTGATTTCTGTTTGGTTTTTTTTTTTTTGGGTTCTAAATTCACAGAGCTTAGTTTTAAAAAATATGCCACCGGCCACTGTATGTTTATCAATATCACTATCACAAATCATACTCCGGGGTATTTAGCATTTACACCACATCTTTAAATTAAATCACTTCTTTAAATGATTTATTTTCTAGCAATGTTTAGCTTCTAAACCATTTCTCTTCAACTCAAAAGAGAATTTGGCTATAGTTTATCAAAGATCTTCATTTCTTTTGAAAGGAAATGCTGTTGGTCGGTACTCAGTCTCTGTTCATTTTTACAATTTAAAAAATTTTGTGCTCTATTGTGTGAACGGGTGAACACACATTCTCACCCATTTTGTTTACACTTTCCTGCAGAATTCCTAGAGTTTGTATTTTGTGCTCTAATGCGTGATGATCAGTGAACACATTTGGTTTGTGCCGCTGCTGCGCTTGATTGATTAGACCTCTTTGATTGCACTTTCTCCTGCATGCCCCCATTGCTTGAGCCTTGAGACCTTTTGAGGATGGATGCTCGAAAGCTGGAGAAGAAGGTTTTGAAGGGGTTCGGGAGCATGCTTCTCAAGAGGTTCTGTGGAAAATCCAATAGTCATCTCAATCATCTTGTCTCACGAATCAGAACATCATTGACGGATGGACGCATTGGCATTGAGGTGGATGTTGATCACAACGAGATTATATTACATGCTTCTCCGGGAGACATGGATGATGTTTTGAAGGCTGTGAACCAAATGTTGGAACTGGAGCGTAAGTTGCTGGAAAGCGAATGTCTGGAGAAATGGACGCATGAGGGGCGATCGGCTTACTTTGTTCTTTTTGGTGCTGGTGCAGAAATCCTACATTTGGGGCCTGACATGAGGCATTTAAGTGTCGACATATGTGTGTCAAATCTAAAAGCAGTTGACGACAAAATGGTGTTGATATTCCTGGAAGAGTGGTTTGGCGGCATTGCAGCAGTACACAAGTTCTCAGGCTGCAGGGGCCGCAGGCCAGAGAACAGATGGGGCAGCGTAACATTTATCAGCCCTGAAGCGGCTAGTCTGGCTACCTCTCTAAACAGGGTTTCTTTTAATGATGATGGATTCCTGCACTTATCTCCATCCAAGATCAACTACTATGGCCGTGAGCAAAAGATTTTTTCATCTCCTTGGCTCGAAGCAACAATCTGCTGGCCGCGTAGGAGAGGCAAAGGGTCAGCCATCGTGGGATGCAATCCAGGGGATGTCCCCTTTGTACTCGATGACTTTTCTCCTGCTGATTTAATAATTGGAGGAAGTCGTGTTTGGTGCGAGCCAAGCGCAAAATTCTCAGACGCCATATTCATGACTTCATTGGACAAGGACTGTTCTGAATCTCAGATCCTTGCAGAGTTGAGTGCATTGACACCCAGGGAAATCTTGGGCGTGTTTCTCTTCAGAGGAAAAGCTGTAAAGCATCCTCCACTACTTGCTCTTGAGGAAGCTCTGTTGAGAGAAATATCATCATTGGCGCCCATGAAGAGGAGGGCTCCTCCCACTCCAATTCGTGTCCGGGTCTTCCAACCTGAACCAAATGATGCTCATATGAGAGCAACAATCACATTCTATGGAAACCAGCATCTAGAAGCTGCAAAGTTGTTGGAGCAAATGGAAGGCAAGGTTTTGCCTGGATGTGAACCATGGCAGAAGATAAAATGCCAACGGCTGTTTCAGACTTCACTCTCTTGTTCTGCACGAGTGCATCATGATGAACTGCCCAATCTGCCTGTGCCAGGTGGAGGAGGGTGATGGTTACCAGCTTGCAACCTGCCTCCACCACTTCTGCCGGCCGTGCTTGGTGGAGCAGTGCGAGTCCGCAATCAGAAGCTGCTGCTGCGGGCCCCACGGTTTCCCGCTGCGCTGCCTGCATGAGGGTTGTGGGACCCCTATCATCGTTGCGGATCTCAAGTCTCTCCTGGCGGTGGACAGGCTGGAAGAGCTCTTCCGGGCATCCCTGAGTGCTTTCGTGGCAGGAAACCCATGTTACCGGTTTTGCCCCTCGCCCGACTGCCCTTCCATCTACCGTGTGACAACAACAACAGAGGATGATAACAATTCAGCTCCAGCAGCATTCGTGTGCGGGGCGTGCTACGCAGAGACATGCACCGGATGCCACCAGGAGCATCACCCTCATCTCTCTTGCAGCAAGTATCGCGAGTTCAGAGATGACCCCGACCTGTCTCTCAAGGAGTGGTCGGATGGGAAGGAGAACGTGAAGAACTGCCCGGCGTGCAAGTGCACCGTCGAGAAGGTGGACGGGTGCAATCACGTCGAATGCCGGTGTGGGACGCATGTTTGCTGGGCGTGTTTGGATGTCTTTCAGTCCAGTGATGACTGCTACAATCACATGAGGTCCATTCATTTGTCCATTGGATAGCTAAGCTAGATAGCTAAACGAATCTAGTTACCACTTCAACAATCATCATCATCATCTTCTTCTTCTTCTTCTCATATCCCATCATTCTTCTTCTTCATTAATCATTATTAACTATTATTAGGTCAATATTCTTCTGTGAATGGTTTCGTTGAATTCAGTTCCCATGTTACGTACGTACCCATCACAAGCTTTTAGCATTTACCTTTTAACATCGTTTAGCCGAACTCTCACCTAATGCAACGAGGCTTTGTTACGTTGTTCTTCTTGTTGTATATGCAAGACTAATACCTCATGCTTTAGTTTATGACAATTGACAAGTAACCGTGAATCTCTCTCCTATCTACTTTAGTGACCAGTACAGTTTCCAGTTAACTATTTGATCGGTGTTGATTGAGAAGATGGGGTGTCATTCTTTTTTCTAGTGGCAAGTATAAGTTTGGTTTGACTTCTAATGCTCGATCATGTCGTCTTAATAGATGTTTGATACTTCAGACTGCGATGCTTGTTTCTAGAAATTTATTTAATTTTTTAATTTAAAATTGGCGTAGAATATTTTTATATATTTATGATATCATATTTAAAAAAAGAGTAATTCTATAAGTGAAATTTGCACTAAATAGGACTAAAACATAATGACTTTCCTAATGTAGGACTTAAACTTTTTTATTCCATAAATAGGACTTAATAATGACCTCGTGGAAGGAATAATGTCCAGCAATGATGCACATTTAGTTGGATAATGACTTCGTGATAATGATGCACATTACAGTCGCTTTTTACGACAACTATAGTCTGCAAATGTGATCTTTCATCAGAATCCTAGCCCACAATCATAGTCATTATTTTTGTGTTATCCGCTTAACCAATATCAGAACACATCACTAGACATAATGTTGACGTTAAATTATACTTTTAGACTTTAAATTAACACCAACAAGGCAGAAGATGAAAAAAAGGACAATTGTGGAAAGGTACCCATAAAAAAAGGACTACGGGTGTAATATTTGATAATAGAGGACTAAATATGGAAACCCCCCCTGTTATAAAGGATTAATTATGGAATTTACTCTTAAAAAAATTATTAAATAAAATATATCATGCATGGTTGTCATTTGTAAAATGATAAATGAGAAAAATAAAAAAAATCTACTAATAAAATATAAATGTAAATTCTCATTTCTTAAATTAAAAAAAACGAAGTAGCCTTTTTTCAACAAACAATTATTTGTAAAGCATTTTCTTGTATAATCTGTGTATTTTATCAAATTAAAAAAATTTAAAATCATACAGAAATTAACATAAATGGAGGGATGTCCTTATATGTAATTTTACTCACAAACAGCTAACTATAAACAACTAAAGTTGCCAAACATCTAATTTTTAACAGCTAACAGAAACAGCCGGTCAAAATAGTTAACTCAATTAGCTATTTAAACCAGCCAACATAAACAGTCAACAACCAGCTGACATGTTCCAAACAAGGCCTGTAACATTGCTACTGCTACTACTACACTATCACTAACATCTCGGACCCCACTGCCAGTTGCCAAAGTTGATCGGTAGTCTACTCGCAATTGACGGATCACACTGTCATATGACATTGTTAGTACTTTTGTATCACACCATCATCGATCACTCTTACATTACTTTGTTACTCTCTCCGTTCCCAATTTGAATACAAATTGAGATTTACGAGTAGAAATATCCCACTTTTTGAAATTATTTTATTTACAAATTGGTATATCGATAAGAAATAAAAATTACATATTAAAAAGCTACATTAAAAATTCTATAAAATAAGAGGTGACAATAATATTTTATTTTATCAAATACTTAATGAAAATGTATAAACAAACAAGAATCTTTGAAAAGAATGGGGAAAAAATGCTCCGGTATAATTTATTGGATTATGCTATGTGTACCCCAAGATTTGTACCCCAACTTGTACCCCGCAGTTTTGCACCAACATTTTATTTTGGTGTAAAACTAATTTTTGTTAAACGCACCAATATTTGTGTCCGTGTGAATTTTTGTAAACCATCAAAATATTTGTGCAAACCTGTGGTGTACAAATGAGGTATATTTTTTGGTGTAAATGTAGAATGGTCCTAATTTATTTGGAGACGGGAGGGAGTATTATACGGAGTATTAGGTGATTAAACTGGCCAACTGGGTGACTTCCTGATGGGCTATTGGGCCACTGCTCGTGCCCAGCGGCCAAGACGCTTTAAGGAAACAAGTCCAATCCCTTCAATTTATTTAAGGAGTAAAATGGGATATTCTTTATTCAATTTATTTAATTATACGTACAAGATTCAATTTTCCATCATCTTTGATAAACTAAAATAAATTACGTACTTTTTGTTTAGTTTGGGGTATGATTGAATAATGTAAAATGGATCTCTAAATTATCTATGCTTTTTTAACTAATAAAGTACTACCTCCATCTAAATGCATTTATTCGGGTCCAATTTGTCTTTTAACTACGGAGTAATAAAGTACTACCTCCATCCCAAACTCCTATTTAAATAAATTTGTCATATTAGTAAGAGATACTACCCATGCTACAATGTATGAGGCGTTAGTAAGGAAAATTTCCCTAGGTGAATAGTGCGGGAAACAATTCCTTGCGAGTTCTCGTTAATTCAAGTATTCCAGTAGTGAAGAATGAATTATTTTTTCTATAATAACTTTTTGAGTAAATTTTATAATTAGTCCCTTTATGACAGGAGGTTTCCCTATTTACTCCACTATTATCAAATATTAACTCAGTAATCCTTCTTTTATGGTTACCTTTCCACAAATAGTCTTTTTTTTATCTTTTATCATGTTGGTGTTAATTTGAGGCTAAAAGTGTAATTTCACAATGATAATAGGAGTATTTTTTTGTCATACACAATTCCAAAGACTATTCCGTTTAAGTCGTTTATGAATTACAGTTGTTTTATACTACAATTATAGTGTACAAATGTGGTCTTTTGTCAGAATCCTAGCCACAATCATAATCATTATTTTTGTGTTATCCGCTTAACCAATATCAGAACACATCACTAGACATAATGTTGATGTCAAATTATACTTTTTAGCCTTTAAATTAACACCAACACGGCAGAAAATAAAAAAAAAAACCATTTGTGGAAAAGTACCCTTAAAAAAGGACTACAGTGATAATATTTGATAATAGAAGACTAAATATGAAAACCATTCTCTTATAAAGGACCAATTATGAAATTTACTCTAACTTTTTGCTATTTTAATATACATCTTCCATCCCTAAGAAATCTTCTTCTTTCATTTTTTTGTTGTCCCTAAAAGATGTTTCTTTATCTATAAAAAAGTCACATCATTTATTTATACTAATAGTCTATCCATCGTATCTTAGTTTTACTCATCACATCAAGAGTATATTTGGAAATTAAAGTCAACACCAAAATATCCATCTTTTAATTTTTCAAGAAGTCAATAAGAAAAACTCTTTTAGGAACGAAAAAAGTATTACCTTTCAGCACAATAATAATAATTAAACATTTGGAAAATACTAGAGTACACCATTTGGGGCAACCCAATTAAATATTTCTCACCCCCTTTATAACCACACAAATTAGCAAGCATGTACAATTTAAAAAATAAATAAATAAATAAAACTAAATAAAAATGATGGTAAAGAGACATCTAGTGTACATTTAGGGTACACTTTTAGTGTACCCTTTTACACATTTTCATACCTTTTATTCTTAATAGGTTCTATTATAAATTCTAGATTATACTCCGTAGCTGGCAAAATAATAACCTTCACATTTTATATATATTTTTTTAAAGTAAAGAAACTTCATTATTGTAAAAGAGGGATTACAAAATCCGGGGGAGTAGAAACCCAAACAGAACGACGGGCCTCTGCTCTCCTCGCAAGAGAATGAGCAACAACGTTTAACTCTCTACGAACAAAACTGATAGAACTAGAGCAAAAACCGACCAACAAGGCCTTACATTCAACAATTAATGAACCAAAATAAGAAGTAAGAGAGAATGAAGTGTCTGAAATTGCTGAAACCACACGTTGACAATCCATCAAGATCTCCACGTTATGAATATCAAGCGTCTTCATCCATGATAGAGCTTCACGACACGCCATAGCCTCCGCCATAAGAGGGTCCGGAGAACATAGTAATTCCCCATTAATAGCAGCAAGAAAACAGTTCGTCGGAGAAAATAGTGCACACCCGAAAGCAACCCTACCACTA